ATAAATGGTAAATGGACTGAACTTATATAGGTGGTAGCATCATGGTGTGGATTGTTTTCTTTGAATATATGGGGTTCAATGAAGTTTCCCATACTCGGGTGCATATTAGAAAATCAGAAAAAATATATATATATTGTTTGGATACATGAAGACTTCAAGAATAGTTTCAGCATAACTCCAAAAAGTAAAACCGTTATCCAAGCTATAGGTGTTCGTTAGTAAAACAGGGCAAGACCTTTCCATCAAATCTTCTTACAACTACTTCGTACAAACCTAAAGTTAAAAATGTTTATAAAACAAGAATGCCCTGATTGTTTCTTGACAAATGGACATTAATCAAGCAGATGAGAATAAAGCATTTATAAATATCGGACAGCTGGCTAAAACAAAATCCGCTCAACCTCAATGGCTTAATGTGTTTTAAAAGTAAGAGAAGTACTCCCCAGACAGCAGTCAGCTTGTTGCAAGAGCAATATAGTTTTATTGATCTAGGTTTAATTACGCTGAACGGGCAGCTGGAGGAACATTCTCTGCGTGCCGCCGCACATGATTCGCACAGAACAGGAGGAACAACCCACATCAGACGTGAGAACCGACTTGTCACATTAAAATGTCCGCAACTAGATGAGATCTAAAAACAAAGTTAAATCAGACTCATTCCTTAATTTAATCACTTTATCTTGAAAATCAACAATCTAAAGGGTTAAAAAATATTCATTCTAGACAATAAAAAAAAAAATCTAAGAAAAAAAAAAAAAGATCACAGAGTTAGGTTTTGTTTGGCTGAGAGAAGAATGGTCAGAGGCACTGGTTTAGAAGCGGGAGAAAGCTGCCCTCGACGACGACGCGGAGGACCTCGTCCTTTTTTTTTGTTACAGTATTGGAGAAGACGGCGTCCTCCACGAGGACGCACACGCATACACACCACAGGCAGAAGTATGGCTGGATCTCCACATTCATACAAAAACATCCTCGCACTCTTAATCAGCACAGCAGGAGGAGAACGTTTTCCCCTGCAGGAAAACTGCAGTCTCAGGTCCTTCAGAATAACCGTGTAGTGATGGAGTAAAGCAGTCCAACAGTGCCCTCTCTCTACAGAGAAGGGCACTACAATAATCATAATGGGAAACAGGTGATGGGGAGAGGGGGGGGAAGCAATCCATAAAAAGGCCTAGCAGGCATTGGATGAGACAGCTTACAGCATCAGTTCAGACAGGACTTGCATGGTACAGATGACGGCTAAAGCGATGAAGAGTAGGGGCGTTTGTGACTCTCCATGTCACAGTCCACATGTGCAACGTTTTAGTGGTATGGCACCAACAGCAGGTGGTTCCTGACCCTGTGAACTCAGTTTCGTCAGACCTCCAGAACGGGTGCAATAGAGGGAGAACTGCCGTCCGTTCACAGGTCGTTGGGGTTAACTATGGTGAAGTCGGAGTCCTTGCTGTTGGTGGAGCCCTCCTCCGGGCTGGAGGAGCCCGATGTGGCACCAGTCGTCAAGGGGTCGTGAAAAGTCCCGGATGAGCCCTCGGGCTCCATTCGCACGGCGGCGCGCCCTCGCCTCGCCGGCAGCGGCAGCTTTCCTTCGGCTAGCAGGTCTTCGTCCTGAGACACCAGGATGTAATCGTCCCAGTTCTTTCCCTCGGAGCCCAGAGACGATGCCACCTGTAGGCAAGAGATTTAAAGAGATCAACATTGTGTACATATACAAGCAGAGGTCACATACATTGGCGTGCAAAAATATTTGTACCCCTTTAACATTTTCATAGGGGATATTGTTCTTTAGCAGGGTAAGGCGAGATGCTCAGTGTGGATGATGATACATACAGAGGCTGCAAAACACTGTAGTGGAGGTTCACTTCCACCAGAACGGCCACCCTAAACATGCAGCCAAAAGCTAAAAAGGAATTATATTGATCAAAAGTTCTTCACGTGTTTAAATCTAACTGAAAGTCTGTGGCAAACTTTAACATTGTCGTACATCGGTACTTCTTGCACGAGAAGCAGGACTTTATTCATGCTCGACAAACAAACCTCCGGTCACTAGGTGGCGGCAGTGTTCAAATTAATCAACAGGCCATCTGCGCAAGCCAGTGGAAGAAATAGCCTACGGCCGGTGTAAACAGAGCTAAGCTAATGGAGGAAACAAGCGCGGATTATTGAAACATATCTCCATACAAGAGAAACGAAGTTTGTGACCTTGAGAAGAAAAACGGAGTCAGAATTTAGTAAGTAAATGAAGTAATATGGAGTATTAAGGCCGGACTACGATTTATTTTTTATTTTTTTTGAATAAAGTCATAATATTACGAGAATAGTAATACTATCGGCAGTATACAATCGCAACATTGCCGGTAAAATTATTAGGAAAAAAAAAAAAAAGCTTCGGGGGGTGCACAGGGGAAGCCTACTGTGAATGCAAAATGTTAGGTACTGTTCATCACTTCTGACAAGTTGCTGTAATCAATATTGTTGCAAGTTTTGCACAATGTTAAAAAGCTATACCTTTTGAAAAAGAAAGCTTAAGAAATTGCCCCCCACCCCAAAAAACATTGGTAACTTATGTTATCAATGCGCTAATTACCTTTACCGATTAAAAGTTTAAAAAAGTTTTACTGTGTTGAATCACTGAGTTAATAAATTGAACTTGGAACTTGTTTTGAGGCTCATAAAATGAGCTGCAACTCATTTTATTAATCTGTTTTGATTATAATGTTATGGAATCGGTGCCAATGGTTTGTACATGTAAATAAATATGATCTGATTCTCAACAGTATTTCAATTCAGGGGGGGCATGAGATAAAATAACTACGCAACAATGCTGAGCACAAATTCTTACCGTTTTGTTGCAGTGGCTGAAGTAAAAGGTGTTTAAATGTACCGACTCCAAATGCATTCCACACTTTTCACATGTTTATTGCTACCAGTTTTTTTAAAACCGACCAAGCACATGAAATCCCAAAGTAATAAACAATTAGTTGTTTTCACCTAAGGGCCTTCAAGCGATATAAAAACACTTTTACAGCTGTCAAGAGGAGGACTAACGATCTAACAACCTGCTGCTCAGGCGGAGTCGTGGTCGTCTCCCCGTCCCTCTCGTCCGTACTCGCGCCCCGGTCCAGGTAGGAGTCTCTGCTCTGCGTGCCGTCGCCTCCTTGAAGCCGTTCGCGGTGGTAACGCGCGCTGTCCAGGGAGGTTTCCGTCGCTGCGGCGGTGGAGGTGTAGTGGTCATCGGCGATGGTGATCTCCTCGTTCTCCTCGGCCTCCAGCTGACTCTGGTTGAAGCGTAACGCTCCCTTCAGGATGTCTTTGATCTGACGACATTTTATTACATTAAAACAAACGGAAAAAGCAGAAGCCTGGAGAGTCGAACTGTACGATCCGTAATTTAAAAAATTCCCCCCTCCCCTACCTGTTTAAGTCCAGCTAGAGAGACGAGGACTTCATCTTCTTTCTCCAGGTGCTCTTGCAGAATCACTTCCTGGATTTTAACTGCAGAGAAGCTCCTTTCTTAAAATGCCACCAAATCAAATAGTTCTACGAAACTTAAACATCCTGACCCCACTTAATGTCGACAAGAATTTAGATGTAGAGATAAATATTGTGTTTTTCATTTCAGGAAATAAATAACTTAAGGAGGCGCGTCGGAACTCACAGATGTGCGTATTCATCATCTTGGCGCAGTACTTGCTCATGGCCTCCAGGTCGTTAATCTGGCCCTGCAGGAAGGACACCTGGGCTTCCAGATCCTCGTCCTTTTGGGATACCAAAAAAAAAAAAAAAAAAACAAAAAAAAGCCCAAATAAAGGGGGAGGAATTAAAAGGTTACTGCTAAGCAAAGAGCAGAGCGAGGCAAGCAGCTCACCGTCTCTTTCTTGCCCATGCTTTTGCTGTGGGACCGGGAGCGAGTGATGAAGAAGGACTCCTTCTTGGTGGCCGAGAGGGGAGGAGACGAGCAGCTGACGTCACTCCCTCTGGAGGGCGGGAGAGGCGGGGACGCAGTGGACTGGCCCTGCCCACCTGAAAGGCTCTCCGTGCTGGGGGAGGAGCTGACCGTCCTGGAGCTTTGGCCTTTGGAAGATGGAGGGAAGAAAAGGTGAGAAGACTGAAAAAACAGAAGAAAAAAAATAGTATGAACTTGAGACATTTTTATTCCTTAAAACATTAAACTTGAGTACATTTTGTTCATTGTTGTTGTGTGGGTGGTCAAATGAAGCACAGCAGATGAACTATGAAATTTCTATAGCTAGTAAAAGAGAAATCTTATTAAAACAAAAAAACTTTTTTTTATGAATCCTTTGAGTATCTGCTGATTTTTTTAGGTGTTAAAGTCAGGGTTTTATATATATATATATATATATATATATATATATATATATATGTCAGAAAACAAATCATGTCATTTAAATTTTAAAAAGTTGTGACTCTGCCCTTCAATTGACCGCTCCCAGGCTTTGACCTTTCGATTTAGCAGAAATTATGTTTCGATTTTGACTTCAAATGACCAAAAACAAAGCAATAAAGAAAAAAAAAAAAAGAACAAACTGCAACACATTTTTATTGAAAATACTCAGCAACATTCTGGTTCTCCTGACTTTAGTAACTGGGAAAATGCAGATGGAAGAATCGACTAAAATTCGGGACATTGTGGGATATTGCGACACGTGGATGTGATCAAATAAATGTAAGTCAGTGGGTCCAAGAGGACATTGTTGTCATCATGATAGTTCAGGGATAAAAAGGGAGACTCGTTATTTAAAGACCCATTACACACAAAGTAATGTATTTCAAGGGTTTATTTCCCTTACGGCTAACAGAGTCTGAAAAAAAAACAAAAAAACAATCAGAACATAAGTCCGTACCACCTACTAGCTGCAGTGAAACATCTACAAATCAGATCTATTCGGAGATCCTACAAAGTGTAACTATCAATAAATATATTCCATACATCAGTGACCTCAAAGCATATTTGCAGCCATCAGATCCGGCAGTAAAAACACGTCGGTGTTCACAGTGTTTATGGCAGCTAAAGACTCATCCATCACACTCAAGCTGCGATCGCCCCCTGCTGGTCAAGGCTTGCAGTCACATCCACATGCGGGACTCGGGTCTGCTCTACAGCAACAAGTTGCATTTTACACAGCAGCACACGAGCAAAACAGACGAGGAGCGGGCGCGTTTGCTGAAAAAGCGGCTAATGGAGTTGCAAAAGCACAACCAAATTAGAGGGGGAGGAAGCGGGAGGGAGGGGTTGCATGGCACACAAGCGGTTGCCTTGGTAGCGGTTACCTTGTGTGTCAGTAAGAGTCTGTTCTGGGAGAGAGCCCTGAGACACCGCACCTGAAACTCCATCTAACAGACAGGAGAGTCAAAGCTGATGTAGCCACAACCACACACCCCAGTGGCTGCACACACACACACACACACTCATCAGTGTTAACAACGACATGCAGAGAAGACTTTAGTGTTTTAACTGGGAACAAAAATACACATTAATATATGGGAGAAAAGCAGGAGGAGTCTGTTGTTCTGATTAGCTATTTGTCAACCCACTCCCCGCCGTCTCTTGGTCCTCACCTTTGCTGAGGTGGACCGGCATGCTTTCAGACTTCAGCAGACGGTAGTGCTGCGTCTGGCCCTGGACCTGCGTCTGCGTCTGCGGCAGCGGAGCCGAGGGCTCAGAGAGCGGGTGAGACAGGGCGGGCGCCGAGGCAGGAGGCGTGAAGGAGGACGAGGAGGAATACGAAGAGGAGGATGACGAGGAGTACACCTCGCTGTTGATGGGGGCGACGCTGGTGGACACGCCCGACATGGCCGGAGCGATGAGCTTCCTGCCGAAGCTCAGCAGGCTGCTGGACACCTTGTTGATGTTCAGCGGAGCGGCTTTCGCCGTAGAGGCGGACCTGCGGATGAAGACGGGAAGGGCAAAAATATGAACAGGAAAAAATTCATCTGGAACTTTGACCAGGATGATTCTGACGTTACATCATCCATCAAAACACTGCTGACGTGTTTAAAGACCGGCTAGATCGCGATCAAGGAAGAACTGGATGACTTTGATCGGTGGTAAGTTGATTACGTCGTCATAAATATAAGTGTTTTTTATACGAGTCCACAAACGCAATGGAATAAACCTAAATAAACTTGAGACCAATCAGACCGACTTGAGAAACATGAATCAATGAAAAGGTCAAAATAAATTTAATAACACTTTCATAAACAAACTAAAATCTGCCAACTAAAGTGAAGCATCACCATGTACATTTGGAGCTTTAAACCAAACTTCGTAAAATCTCTGTACCGTGTCTTGTTCATCAGATCGGCTCCCCTTGTGTTGTAGTAATCCAGGTTCTGCTGAAACTGGTAGTTGACCGGGCGTGGATTGTTCTGCATGAGAGAAAGAAAATAATAAAATCTGTGAGTGTGTGATGAAGATCAGAGGAAACGACCCACAAGCTGCGGCCATGCATGACTGCATAACTACAGAAAATGCCTCTGAGTCACAGCGGATGCTAATTCAGGTTGTAAAGAAAAAAAAAAAACCACCACGTTGGATGAAAACCCGACCGAAATTTAAGATCAACCCAGTATTTAAACGAGGCAGTGCTTTGCCGTCACAGGTTTCAGAAAATGAGGCTGGATGGATTAGACAGTCAGATGGTCCCACATTATCTGATGCTGCATCAGGAGGAAGCAGCTGCCGCAGCAACCAGGCGGCCTTCACTGTGGGGAAACGGCAACGTTTTCATCCCGTTTACCCGACACTGGGCCATTTCAGAACATTTCACTTCATGTGCAGTTATAATTATAGTGCAATTTAAAACCGCAAAATTTGAAAGCGAGGATGAAAAAAAACAAAAAAAAACCACAAACTTTTACTAGATTCTGAAGGGCTTTAATACCAGAAACTCGTAGAAAACTTCAGAACAGGCACAAATTGGGCAATTTTGTTTCTTTTCCCCCCCATCTGGGTTTACAGTTTTTTGACTAAGCATTTTATTCCAATGAAGAGCAAAGTGAGCGGAAAACTACATTCTCCAAGATGTGCAGATCTTGTAGTACTTTTGAACTCTTGTTTTACCCGTTGTCTTCATGGAGGCTGTGCACCTGCTTAACAACTTGAGATCTTGAGTCATTTTATTCAATTTACCAAAATAAAGAAATATAGCCACATGAGTAAAATAATATCCTTCTGCAGCAGGTTTTCTGAATTTATTTTGGCCATAATCTATTATTATTTTATGAGGCTCAGCTGACCTAAAAGCATTTTTATATCTCTATAGTTTATTGGTTGTCCAATTCTATTTTTATTGCCATTATGGCTATTGCTGTTATTTTTTCCCCTTTGTTTTATTCATACACACAACTTTGTTAAGTTTAATTAATGCTAAACACTAAGGAATCTGGATCATCTTTGCATTTTATTTGACCAAGCACCTGGTCCAGAGGTAAAAAATAAAAAATACACTGAACACAAAATATCTTCCTCATTTGTTATTTTAAAATAATTACCTAATCTCAGTGCAAGAGTGGGAAGTAGAAATTCAGCTTTAAGATTATCCAACATAACTTCATGTCTTACATAATTAATAATAAAAAAATTATATATATATATATATATATATATATATATAAAAGCAAGTTAGACCATATAAAGATTATAAACCTGAAGTATGTTTTCCATTTGTGGAGGTATTTCAGTAAATATACATTAAAAATTACACAAATGTAATCAAAGAAATGTAATTCACAATCAATTATGTGAAATCTATCTTGCATTTATTCTGATTCATCTAACTGACATCACAGTATTGATGCCTGGTGTTGGTTTTTAAACTTTAAGTCGCTGTATCCAGGCAACGCCCTACAGTTTACTGAAATTTAATCTCCAACCCTTTGGAGCGCTTCAGGATCTCACGGTCAAAACCGCCCAACAGCTGAAGAAGTGTGATGAAATAAAACATTCAACGCCAATTTTTTTAGACTTTTTTTTTTTCCTCCACCCCCCCCCTTA